TTGCCGAGGGCAGGGTTCCCAGGAGGCCGTTAACGCTGGCGTGATTGGTCTGGCTCCGCCCGGTGTCGACACTTCATCTCTTCGCTGTAGATTGTGCCTTTGCGGGGTTACGGGGGAAAGTGTAATCAGTGCAAGTGGCAGCCAAAGTTGGGGGCCGTCCGCAGCACGGATCGACCAGCGTCCGCCAGCGTTCCTGTGTCCGTGGTCATAATAGTGAGTGTCCGACGCCGGCGAGCTGTGGGAGTGCGGGGCCGGACCGGGCCGTCTGTGGAGAGGCGGGTAAGCAGTCCCTCCTCAGGCAGCCCAGTCATTGGAGGAGCCTCCGCAGAGTTGTTTTTAAGTCCGCATTCAGAGACACGGAGGATCCGGCCATTCCTGCCTGCGAAAGGTGACCAGGGAGGGTTTGGGTTGTCCTCTGTCAGTAAGCGTGCCCCCGTTGATCCTGGTCGTTGGACACATCTTTCTCGCCAATATTTGAGATATGAAGTGACGGGCACCAGGGCCCTGCTGGTGTGGTAAAAACATGTGTGCAGGGCACAGCTTTGGAGCTCGAAGCCTCTCTTCAACCATGTCCTTGATTCGGCCATATGGTCCTGGGAGCTCCAGGACATTGGATGAGATGGTGGTGTTGCGGGGAATGGCTGTGAATGGACAACTGTCCGAAGAGGCCCACTTGACCTGTGGACCACCCCTTGAGCAGCAGGTGCAGTAAATTTTCACCAAAAAATTGTCTACTGCCTGGATAGGCAAAGACTTGCACTGATTGTGGCGTTAACAGGTTGGCTTCATGCGCAGGGCTCCAGGCTTGACCTTGACCGCCGCCCGACTCTGCCTCTGCTGCCAGGGTCGGCCACCGGCACCTGCACAACGACTCTCGTGCACCCTGGGCTGAGACTTGCCCTTGTCTTCCAGACTCTAGGGCGGCCGGGTCCTCAACTTGCGCCCTCACTGTCTCAGGCTCCCCAACTCAGGTTCCTTTGGCTTCCTTTCCTAGGATGGTCATCAGCCACGTTCACCGAAGAGGGAGGCAAGGCTGATAAAACCCCTTCCAGTAAATGAGCTCTCGGGACTTGCTTTTTACATAACGATTCATGGGGCGCTTGTCCTGTCCTGGGGTGGACATAGCCCACGGACATTCATTGTGAACGGGCGCTCTGTGCTGGCTTGAGGCGAACGTTCTCTCCGGTTTTTGTTTCCTGTGCTCCGGGAAGTGTGGGAAAGGGAGACGGGGCTTGGCCGCAGTGACTGAGGCAGAATTCCACCAGGCTGCTGGCACTATGAGATTCAGCCCGGTCACACCTGCGTGTGTAAGAGCTCCATCCGTTTACTAAATATATAGTACCTGGAGGCCTATGGGGGAACTAACAATTGTTGCAATTATTGATCTGGCTTATCAGGGGGGAGGGGGGACTGTCAGGACATGTGGGTGGACACGGCACCTGTCTGTGCACTTCGGTCTGCAGGAGCGAACTGGTGCTCAGCAGGGAAGGTGAGAAGAGGGTGCGGAAAGCTGCCTGGGGGTGGGGGGAAGGGGACATGTATGTGGACACCCAGGTAGGGTGGCCAAGGCGAGCGCGGGGAAGTTTATCGGAGACGCTTGAGTAGAATTTTTAAAAGTCCTCAGTCACAGATAGAGCTGGATCCAGCCCATGAAGGCAAAAACTATCCCGCCATGCAGGAGGGAACACTGTCTTAGCTCCTGCCTGGAAGCGACCAGATGGCCGTGAGAGCCCCGAGCTGTGATGGGGAAGTCTTTGAGACTGGTGGGTTGGCTGTGCACATCCCAGGAGGTCTCTGTGATTGGTGAACTGTCCCAGCCAAACAGGATAATTTTTTCCCCCCTGAAACTGGAATATTCTGCTACCAGATTTTTTAACTGGTCACTCCAGCGTATGTGTGGCTGAAAAGATTGGCTCTATGGCGCACAATTTCTCTGGGTTTTGAACTGTGTGTGTGAATCTCACATGACGCCCAGCCCCCACCATGGTGCTGCCACAGAGCTCAAGTGCCTGAGAGTGGCGAAGTCCTTGGGCATTCTGCGCCTCATAGTTACAGTGTGGTCTTGTAGACCCTAATGGTGCCTGCTTCTCTTGGGTTGCTGGTTGCCCTTGCCTGACACAGCATTTCTGGTTGCTGCCCCCTGGACTTCCTCTTGGGGTTTTGCATACAGGCTTATGCCCTGACAGGCCCAAGCCAGTGGACGTTTGTGACGTTCCTGGTGGGCAGGGGCGCTCTGTTCACTCTTCCTGAAGGCTGTGGCTGCTTCTCTCTGTCCATGGACGGTGTGTGGGATGGCAGAGGGTATGCACATGGTTTATCTCTGCCGTGCTCAGCCTCACGATGTGGGTGGCCGTGTCTCCCAAGGGTGGGCAGGCCATCCCACCAGGTCCTCTGTGGCGTCCATGGAGGCTCCAGGTCACCCCTTGTTTGCCCAAGGATGAGCAGGGGTGTTGTTTTCATCCCAATGACCTGACCCCCTTGGGCTCACACCTCAGTGGGATCAATAGTGCACACTTTGAGGGTCCATTGTGCTCCCCCACTTCGGGCGGGAGCAATGTGGTATTGAAAAGTAGTGATGGGTTACGGCTCTGTGTCTTTGAAAACTAAGGCTTTTTTTTTTATATGTTTAACTTTTAAGATTTTATTTTTAGGAGGAAGGAGTGAGAAACATCAATGTGGTTGCCTTTCGCGCGCCCCCTACCAGGGACCTGGCGCGCAACCCAGGTATGTGGTCTGACGACGAATGGAACCGTCGACCCTTTTGGGTCCCAGGCCGGCCCTCAATCCACTGAGCCACACCAGCCAGAGAAACTTTGGTTTTCTTAATGAGAACGCTAATCACGATCATTGCTTGGGCCCTGTGGAGGACCACCAGTAGGGCCTCTTGGCCCTACTCCAGACCCCCAGTTGTCTGGAGCCCTTGCGTTCCACGGGCCGCGGAGAGGGGTCATTCCCTGGTGAAGAGTCTAAGCGTGGCCTTGGGGCCGGAGACACACTCCCTAGAACGTAACCACCAGGTGTAAGCGATCCCAATTGCGCATGCGCAGAGCCCTCTTTGGCAGGCCGGTATGGCCCTCAGTGACTCTCAGCCAATGCATGGAGTGGGGCGCGCAGTTCCGCAACATGCCAAGAGGAGCCCCGTCCCCACCCCAGGCCTTAGCAACAGGTGCAGGCAGGTGAGACTTGCTTTGCTTGCAGTTGTTCACGTAACCTGACTTCTGGTGTGGGAGGCGCGGGAGGTGCAGAGGCCCCAAGCGTTACGAAGGGCCCCTAGTTTACCCGTTAATCTTGGCTGTCTCTGAGGCCTTTCTCGAAACCCTCCCCGTGACCTGCCCAGTGTGTATCCCTCCCCGCCATTCCTCCTCAGGGTGCTCACAGCTGTCACAGCTCCTCATATTCTGGTGTTGACTGTCTCAGACCTGACAGCATCCCACAGAGCTAGCGAGCAGCACAAGATGTGTTTTGTGTGGAGTATAAGGGGGTAGCTGCAGGGTGGTGGGCCAAGCTCAGTGAGTTGCCTTATCACTGGGGCCACCTGTTCTAAAGGGCTCTTGGCTGTGGCCTGGCGAATGAGGCTCCCCAGTGCCTCTCTGCTGTGCTTGCATAGCTTTGTGCCCAGCTTGAGGAATGTGGCACCTGGGCTTTGGGTAGGTCCTTCTCAAGGAGCATAATGGCCTCAAATGGCACGTGTCCTATCTTGAGATAGCCTCATCTATGGCAGGTTTCCCCTTTCCATGTCGCAGGGGGGCAACTTGGCTCCATGTGCCCCTCACTAGCTGTCAGGATGTCACCAACTAGCACGACCTCTGGCTCCCTGTGCTCCTACCAGGCCCATCCTGCCCAGCAGCACCTGCTTGTCTCTATGGAACCCCCCAAAATTACCTAATATGAAGGGTTCCTAGTGATTAATGAGTCCAAGTTAAAAGCAGCCTTAGCAGCCTTTTCTACAGAGGGTTCCCCCACCCCCACCCCGTGGAGGTCATGCTCAGAGATAAGCTTTCTACCATCTGAGCCAGCCATTATGAAGGAGTTTCTGTAATTGTATTTTGACCAACTGGTCTGAGGCTTTCCACACCACCCTTATCCCTTTTCGAGGAAGACCATTTCCCCAGCTGAAGCTGTCCAGTTGGAGGGGCTGCCTTGACCGTGGTCTTAACTCGTAGCTCTGCTGTTCTCTATTGCAGCTTCCTTCACCATATCCAAAACTTGGGGAGTCCTGATGAAACTGAACTGGTGTGGATGACCACTGCTTAACAGCTCACAGATGAAGCTGCAAGTGTGAGTACCTGCCCCGGGGCAGAGAGTGCTGCAAGTGGCTCATTTCAGTTATGGGTCTCCTGGACTTGAAGGGTAACATCTGGTGCTAATATGTCAACGGATGCTGAAACATTCCATCCCCCACCTGGGGGAAGAGAATGCTTGCATTTTTTAGATCAAAACCAACCCTGTCAACCTTCCCCCACTGGGGGCTTTGGAGACTGAGAGGCTGGTTGTAGCCCCTCCTGACAGCAACCCACTGGAATATCGGCTCTATCAATTTTCAATGGTACTCCTGATGCTGTCCATGGTGACCACCAGTTGTGACTGGGGAAGCAACTTACCAATTCTGGATCAAAGGGTAGTGGTGAAAATAACAGAAAACTTTTGTGGCCCACCTGTCATTGGAATGAGCCCACTTTTAGGTCCCTTAAGGGCCAGATGATAAGTCTGGTTGCCACTACCAACTGCAGAAATCCCAGTTCCATGTCATTTGCTGGGAGGAAATGAATCTTAAATTTTAGTAAACCATGTGCAGTCTTTGGTGCAACTGCTACACTTCTGGGAAATACCATTTTATCATCTATAAAATCGGAGTAAACTACTGGGAAGTATTAACTGGGCCATTTTATAATTCCAACCCATCTATCTGCTCTAACCAGCGTCTGTTGGCTTCTGGTAACGTAATGCTGACATTACAAATAGTCACTTTTATCAGCAAAGTTTATTCAGAAAAAGCAGAGTTTGTAATTTGGGTAGGAATGTTATGGTGGGGAAGGAAAATGGGAGGCGCTGTTTTGGAGAAAAGGGAGAATTGGGGGGGAAACTCTCATTGCATGAGTGGCTGGAATAGTTGATTTCTTGGAGGACGTGCATTTGTAATAACCTCAAAGTTGGAAACAAGTCAAATGTCCTCCACTGACAGATTTAAATGTAAACAATTTGTGTACATTCATATAGTATTCAATAGAAGGAATAAAGTATTTCATGAGTGACACGTATGAACCTCAAAAGTAATGAGCTTGAAATAGAAATTTAAGACCTTTGAGTGCTTTATGATTTGACTCATAAAGTTTTATAAAATACAAAATCTGTGAAACATCAGTCCCTAGTTGCCATGAGGACAGAGGGAGATTTTAAAAGGACACAAGGTGAATGAGACTTCATAGTTGTTCATTTCAATGTTGATCATTTTATGGATGCATGCCCAAAAGTAAACAACTAAGAAGTGCTGTTCCACAGCATCACTCATATGGAAGTCTGGACCCCCCTAAATTACCCCCCGCAAACAGGCTTAGAAATGTTGACTCATGCTTTTGGGGGAAGTATAGTCCTTTCTCAGTAGCAGGAAATACTCCCAATCTTGTTGGTCAGTATTCCCTGACAATCACTTGGCTGGGTCACAAAAGCTACATCCCTAGTCTCCCTCCTGCTGTCATTCTTGCCTCTGCAGCAGTATATTCAGATGAACAGTGTAGACACTAATAACCAAGACTGTATTTGCTGACAATGGCCTCAACTACAGGTCACTGCAATGTGTGGAGGGTACACCCTCCCTAGTTGCCGGTCTCAACCAGTGTTTCGATACAAATTAGTTCTAGTCCAGCCCGTGCAGTCTTACACCCACTTAACAGCAGATGACTCTAGACATGAAAGGCACATGATTCTTTTGTGGTACCTAGGAAACCGCTCCCCCCCATAGTGCTTGGCATATGATGTGACATCCTGGGAAAAGGGAACCAATATACTTGCCAGCAGCACTGGAGGCTGTCACAAGTTTTACCCTCCTTCTCTGGGCTAACATCTAGCGTATAAATGAGGACCACAAAGTGCTCTAAATCATTCTTAGGTGGCCTTTAGAAGCAATGCAAATTAGACCAGAGCTGGAAGAATGCAAGCTACCATTATCCAGCCTGATCTTGGCTAACAAAATTGGGTCCAGGTTATGCCCTAGTCAGAAAGGAGGTAGTGTGTTCTCCCCCCGGCTGAGGTGGTCTATAGAAGTGAGAAGGCTTCGTGGCAGCGGAATGAGTTCAGGCAAGGAACCAGCAAGGTAGAATACACAAGGCTACAAAATTCTTCTGGTGCATGAGGAGCTCTTGGGGGGGGGGGGCGCACAGAATTTCCCTACTGTAGACAATGAGATGCATCAAGTCCAACTTCAAGCAGAGAACTTCCTAATAAAAAAGTAGTATGTTCCCTGAGGCAGGTCTCAGGCTTTTCTTCTACATGGACTTTCTGGGGCCAAATGACATTCATTATTAAACTATCTCTGGGTTAAGGTGTCATGTTGAATTTGACAGAGCAGTGGCTGAAAAGTCTGTCCAAGCCATTGCACATTCATGAGGTTATCTGGTGTGAAGCTTTCTGTGTTGAATGATGTGTGAGCTCTGGCTAAAGGATTTCCCACATTCCCCACACTCATAAGGCCTTTCTCCTGTGTGAACTCTCTGGTGCTGAATGAGGTTGGACTTTTGGCTGAAGGATTTCTCACACTCACCACACTTGTAAGGCCTGGCTCCAGTGTGGATTCTCCGGTGTTGATTGAGGGTGGAGCTGTGGCTGAAAGACCTCCCACAATCCCCACACTCATAAGGCCTTTCGCCAGTGTGAATCCGCAGGTGCTGAACAAGTTTGCACTTGTAGCTGAAAGATTTTCCACATTCACTACATTTATAAGGCCTCGCCCCATTGTGAATTTTCTGGTGTTGGACAAGGTTGGAGCTCTGACTAAAGGAGTTCCCACACTCAGCACACTTGTAAGGCCGGGCTCCTGTGTGCACTCTCTGGTGTTTAATGAGAGTGGAGCTGTAGCTGAAAGATTTTCTACACTCTCCACACTCATAAGGCTTCACTCTATTGTGAATTTGCAGGTGCTGAACAAGTCTCAGTTTGTAAGTGAAGGCTTTCCCACACTCACTGCACTTGTAAGGCCTGGCTCCAGTGTGAATTCTGTGGTGCTGAATGAGGTGGTAGCTTTGGCTGAAGGATCTCCCACACTCGTTGCACTGATAAGGCCTCGCTCCCGTGTCAGGTCTCTGGCAATCACTAACGGGGGAGCTTTGGTTAAAAGGTTTCTCATAATTATCACAGTCATGACTCTGAGGGTGAAGCTGCTGATGCTGAAAAAGTTTGTATTCATAGCCGAGTGGTTTGCCATAGTCACTGCATATGTAACGATTCCTCCCACTATGAAAGGCTTCCCTATCCCCACATGTGAAAATGCTCGGTGACTTTGCCCCTTTCAGAGTTGCCTGATGCTGGAGAAGACTCAACATGGCTAGGAAGTCCTTCCCGACTGCCCCGCAAGTGAAGGCAAGGGGCTTCCCTGACACGTGGAATTTGCAGCTTGTCACAACGGAGGCTGCGTCCATATCCCGTTCAAGAGGCTTCTCTTCATTGTGTTTGTGGTGTAGGTTTGGACTGAACCAGGGTGGTTTGCCGCAGGCCTCGCAGGTGTGTGATTTCTGGCCAGGATGTGATGATCCTGGGTACTCAGTCAGGTACAAAATGTCTCTCCCCACCAGGACGCACTTCTCACAGGGGTGAGCTTCCTGAATGGCTGGGTCGGAATTTGGAGTCTGGCCTTGTGACATCTGTGCTACAGAAACACTCTGCATGGAAAGCGCCTCCTCCTCCATTCCATACCAGGAGCCTGGAAGCAAAAGGCTAGTAAGTACATGCTGACTCTGGGGGGAGGGAGCAGCCCCATCAGAGATGAATATGAGGGACACAAAAGAATTGATTTCAGTGGATTGTTTTCAGGTTGGTGAGAGGGGCTGCTTTGTACTAAGTGCTGGGACTCAAGAATTGAGTAAGAGCTTCAAGAACTATGGAGGGCTGGTCCCCCACTGACTCTTTCCTATGGCCTTCACTGAACTCTTGACTGTGCCGAAGTTTATGTCCAGGCCAAAGAAAACCTGGTTGGAACTAGCTAGAATTGGTGTTTAGAGATTGAAAGAAATGGGCAATCCTTGCAGTATCACATGTGAGGTAACATTGGGCAACTGAAGACCAGAATCAGGGTAGAAATGAGAACTGGGAGAAGTGTCAAGAATGGGGAAGGGCAGGCAGACATGAAAGGGGTGGTGTTGACATCAGTGGGCACGGGACAGGTTCCTGGTGTGAGCACACTCTCCAGCTATGTCCTACCTCAGCTGCCATTGACTGTCGTGTCCATCCTGTGAGGCATCTAGGACTGTTCACCTGGGGTTTAGGAAGAAATAGGTGGGACCTTGATGATTGGAGACCTAAGGTGACAGGTGAGGAACTAGCACTGGCCCAGAGCAATCCCGTAGCAGACAACGGGAAACTAAATGTTACAGGAATCACAGAGGAATCTTCTGAGAACAGCTCTTGGGACATACCAGTGACAGTGCACGCAGGTACAGATGGGGAAAAACGTCATGGAAAAGGTAGGGAGAATAACCTGGGCTGAGGTGCCAGGCCTGGCCAGTTACCCGGCCAGGCCAACGGGGGTGGCACATTTCAGGCTCCAGGTTTCTGATCAGTCTACCTGGCCAGGAAACTGGAAGGTAAGGTCCAAGTGTGGAAAGAGCAGTGCATCCCTGGGAGGTAAAGTAAAGACGGTGTCTCCACATGGGTGCTGGAAGCAACACGCGGAATGCTTTGTAAAGTATTGATATGATTGTCTGAAACCAATACAGTAACACTGAACATCAATTGTAATTTAAAGAGATGGAGTCTAGCCTGTCCACTGGTGTGGGGGTGTTAAGTCTTACCCAATGAGGTCACAAGGGCAAAGTTCTCCAGCATCACGTCATGGTACAAGCATCGCTGAGTCTCGTCCAGGAGGCCCCACTCCTCCCAGGAGAAGTAAACGACCACATCCTCAAAGGTCACACGGCCCTGTCATGAGACATGAAACTAAAAATAACCCCGCTGCCCAGGCCCTACAGTGAAGCTCCCCAACTCAAGAGATGCCAGGCCCTCCTTGTCAGGAGGTGGCCCAAACACAGACACCAACCACCCGCCTAGCCACCCCCCCTAGGGATCTCCCTGAAATGTCCCCCCCAGTACACCCAAATATACTCTCAACCTTCACCTAAATCCCTAATACTAAGGGCCTGGAGCCACTGGCTCAAACACTCTCTGCGTGCACCTCCCGGGCACCTGTTACCCATCACCTGGCATCAAGAGTACTTGGCATAAACAGGACCTGGTGCTACCACAGACCTGGTGAACCTTCAAGTGCACTGTGAAGGCCCCTTGTCTGCCTGGGGTCCTTGCTTCAATCTCAGCCACCTCGCACATACCCCTGGTCCTCTGCTCACTTGTGTTGTACTGACATCCCCTCACCAGTTAGGCCTTTTACTCTTTCCCTCATTCAGTCCTCAGCTATGTTGCTTTGCTAGGGACACTGTAATAAAGTACCCAGTCATGCTGAACTAGAGCCCATCTGTATCTTCATTTTAACATAATCGCCACCTTAAGGATCGATGGCCAATTACAGTCATGACATGAGATACTGGGAATGGAGTATTTTAACATAAACAGTTTAGGGAGACACAATTCAGCCCCTAAGCTCACAGGTGAGCTCATCTGATAGTCTGACTAAAACACCCCAGGCTCCAAAAAAAAAAAATCCCCGTAAAATCCTGGCGAGTGAAGAACAGTGAACAGGACTTTAGGTAGGTCATCTGCCTCAACTACTCCTAGGCTTCCATATCCACCTCCTGTCCATTCTTCCCGTGGAGACCTTGGCCACCTGCTAGATTACCCTCTTCTCCCCCCTCACCTGTATTTCACAGGCCATTCCCTCCAACCAGGTACCCAGAAAGAGACCCAGACTTAGTACTAAACCTCTTCTTCCCAGCCTGCCAATAACGTGCCCCTTGAATTCTCCTTCCTTTGTGTGACACACGGCTCTCCATTCAGTCCACATAGCCACCACCACCTATTAGGTGTCTAATGCTGAACCTCATCGCAAATTTGTAGACCTTTATACTCAGCTGCCTCCATTCAGTATTTTCTGAACCATGTCAGACTCTTTGCCAAAATCATTCCCAGTACTAACTGCTCCAGCCCAGTTAAGGGGGCTCCTATCGCCCTAGCTGTTGAGGTAAGAACTGTAAGGGGGGGGACATCCCTCACCCCTCCCATTTTGCTCCTTACTCTCCAAAAACTTCCCCTACCTCCATGACTATAATTTACATTCACCTCACCTGGACCTTGTGGTAGCTTTCTCCCCGACCATCCCAGTCTGTTTTCTGCAACTAATGGAACATGTAACAGCATGGGTGAGACCACCATTCTACTCCTGCCTCTGTTCCCAGCGTTTTGCACATACCAGTACTGGTGCCCAGGAACACTTCCGTATAACCAGCCTGGGTTTGGTGCTTCTCTAGGATCTCAGACCCAGAGGTTCAGAGAATGGCAGATGGAGAGGACCAGGACACCCCCTCCCCTAACATGTGTTGACAAGTCATAGAAATCATGAGGGAGGATAGGAGACAGGCGATTGTGGTGGAGCTCCCTGGGCTCTGGTCCCTCTTGTGCTTCTGCTCACTCCTGGAGCTAGGAGACCTCAGGCCAATTATCCTCAGTGCCGACTCTCACTCAGCCTCCCTGTGCCACCTCGCTGTCATCAATCCTCTCTACTGTTCTTCCTGTAAACAGCCTCTTGGCAAGCTTTCATCGTGTTTCTCCTTTGGTGAAATTCCCCTGGCTCTCAGGACCCTCAGCCAGTTATTTCCAGATGTCACTCCACCTTGCATGATCTGTTCCCTGCAGGCCGAAGGTGGCCCCCAGGTTCCTGAATCTTCCTGGCTCAATCACCATTCATCATCTTTGCATGGATGGCCCCTATGGCACGTCACCTTTGAGTTCCTCACAGTCCTGGATGCTAGGCTCCAAGCTGGAGGACATTAACAGGTACCCTGCACCTGGGACTATAGGATTTGGTGAGAGAATGTGCACTCACCTCAGCCAGGCCCCTCAGTGTGGCCACTGCCATTGCTCTCTGTACCAGAAGGACAATGGCTCCTGCCCCGCCTTCTCTGTCTGGTCGTCACATCCAGAGTCTCCGAACAAGGAGCAACCACAAGGAAGATGCGGGCAGTCATGGACCTTCATTGGCTCCACGCTCTTGTCACTCTGCACAGGCTTCTCTGGGTGATGATGTTCTTGCAGTTCCACAGGCCTCCAACTTAGGTGGCCACAGTGGAACCTCCTGGAACAGAGAGGAGACAGCACTGCCAGGGGTGTCCTGGCTGAAAGGACAGGGGAGGGCTATTCTGTCTTAAAAGGGCCGTGCCCAGATTCCAGAGGAGTTGCGTGCAACTCATCACATATGCATGTATTTAAAGACATTATTCCAGCCTCCAGGAAATAACCAAAAGCTACCAGTTATTACCCCTCACCCCTCAAGACTATAAAGCTCCAAACCACATTCCCAAACCTTTTTTTTTTTAAATCCTCACCAAGGATGTTTACTCGTGTTAGAGAAATACTGATGTGAGAGAAAAATTACATTCGCTTGCCTCCAGTACATATCCCGACCGTGAATCAAACCTACAACTTTTATGATGCACAGGACGATCCCCCCCAACTTTTGTATTAGCCCATTTTATAGTCACAGACAGTCACTGACACCAACTATGTTCACTAGCTTCTACGGCTTCTGAAGCTGAGCCTATTTCTATTTGATTATTAGAGCAGCCAAAAGAGCCTTAAGAATAGGGGAGAGAGTTTCTTCCTCACTGACAGGATACAATAAACATGAGTGTTTAAGGAGCCAAATGTGCTCACCGGGATCAGGGTGCTGCCTCTGGCTTCCTAGAAAGGTCTGGAATGTAGTCTAGTGATGAGTGTACAGCACTCACTGCTTATATCTGTAAAGCACAAAGGCAACAGAGCCATTAGCCCAGACCATGATGCTGAAACACATTTCATGAAAAACATAGATTTTTTTACTGTATTTCCTAAACCTCTCAATTCGCAGGGAAACATGCATGTCACTCTCATAAAAATGTAGGTAGATACACCAAGAGTTTCAGGCTCCAGTAGAAGAAATAAAAGGAGCTGAGGTACTGGGATAAAGCCTAGTGACCTGGAACCTACTTGGGAGGCAAGTTACGCTGAGCAAAGCCCCATACCCATTCTGTGTAAAACAAAAGATGAATAGCATCCCGCAAACCTGCCAGTGCTAGACAATCCCTTTAGAAAAAGAACCAGTTTGTTAGCAACCTGTTACCAAGGGCCCTATGTCTTTGGATTTCAACACTTGCCCTTTTTGTTAAGTTAAATAATTTCCAAGGATCCCAAACCCAGTCTGAGTGTGGAAGATAATGCCCAAATTTAAATATGTTTAAAGGCTGACTGTATTTCAGTCAGAAGAATGTAGTGACAAATAGTGACTCCGTTATCACCACACCAGAAAATTGTCTCAACTCACATAAGAAAGGCTTTCATAATTTCAAAGCTGTTTTCTGTAGATCAGAATAAACCCAGCAGCATCATAGTGGTGGACAGCTCAATAAATTTTGCCTAAGGCTGAACCTGCAGATCATAATCTTACATTAAAAAAAAAAAAAATCAGAGCCCTGACCGATATGGTTGAGCATCTTCCTGCAAAGCGAAAGGTCGTCCATTCAATTCCTGGGTTTTGGACCAGTCCCAGGTTGGGGGCCTGCAAAAGGCACCCTTGATTGATGCTTCTCTTGCATATCAATGCTTCTCTCCCTCTCCTTCTCCCTCCCTTCCCCCTTCTCTAAATATAGTCTTTTTAAAAAATCCAATTTAAAACATGGGCAGAGGACATGAATCTACATCTCTCCAAAGAACATACAGATGACCAAAGGACATAAGAAAAGACATTCACCGCCACTAATCAGAGAAATACAATTTTAAAACCACAATGAGGCATCACCTCACACTTATAAGAAAGGCTATCATCAATAAATCAACAAATGTTGGTGAGAGGATGTGGAGAAAAGGAAACTCTTGTGCAGTATTGGCGGGAAGGCAGCAGTTGGTACAGTTACTATGTAAAACACTGTGGAGGTTCCTGGAAAAAAATGAAAAAGAAACTGTCTTATGACCTAGAAATTGTACTTCTGAGGATATATCTGAAGAAACCCAAAACATTACTTCAAAAAGATATGTGCATCCCTATGTTCGCTGCCTCATTACAACAGTCAAGATACAGAAGCAACCCATAGACAGACACTGGTCATACATATATGCGATGGAGTATTACTTGGCCATAAAAAAGAATGAAACCAGACACACACAAACAGTACCATATGATTTCACTTATATGTGGACTCAAAAACAAAATAAATGAACAAACGAAACAGAAAAAACTAATAGATATACAGCACATTTTTATGGCTGCCAGATGGAAGGGGCATTGAGGGAGCTGGAGAAAAAGGAGACGGGAAGAAGTACAAATTGGCAATTACAAAATAGTCATGGGGATGTAAAGTACAGTAAGTATAGGGAGGTCCAACCACTATACTGTATACTTGAAATTACAATAATATTGAATGTCAACTGTAATTGAAAAATTTAAAAATTTCTGAAAACAAATACTAAAAAGTTTAACTCCTTGTGTGTGTTTGCATGGGGGGTTGGGTAGAAAAAGGGACAAATTAGGGGTATTTCACGGTACTTCCAAAGCTGATCAAATTGTGCATCATAAAAGATTTGGTTATTATGACTCAAGGCAATCATTTGCATAAATCTTCAGAGCTTCAGAATGTTTTCAAAACCATTCACGAGCTTGTTTTCAGAGCCTAAGGTAAAATGGACGTGTGTGTTTACCAGTTTTGTGTGCTTTCATTTCTATTGTTTCATTTGATCCTACTAACAGTCAGCTGACTGATATATGCCTGTTTATTTTTACCCTTCTTTATAAGGAATAAGGTTTTAAATATAGTAAAACATGCTCATAGTTCTAGCGTAGATGTGCACCAGATTTTGCTCCCATTGTGTTTTCTAGTATACTTACAGTTGCCTGACAGAACCTACCTAGGTTTAATTTGAACTGCAGGTGAGTAATGAGTAATTTTACAATGTGTATTACATGGGACATAAACTTTAAAAAAATTCATTATTTGAAATTCACATTTAACTGTGTATCCTGTATTTTTCTTTCCTAAAGCTGGAAATCCTAAGTATACCAGTAATGCCCTATTTAACTGGGTATAATTTTAACATATGAAGCTGATATGTCAGTTTCTTATTGCTCCTGTAACAAATCATCATGAATTGAGTAGCTTAAACAACACAAACCCAACCTGGTTTCTCCTTTTCTTTAGGATTCCATTCTGGTAGCCACAATTTCTCCCTAATTGCTTTCATTCCAACCGCTCTCTTCAGATAGATTCTTTATCTTGGTGGAAGTAAAATTTTATTTTTTTATTTATAATAATACCTGAACATATTTAAAGTGTTTAAGGGGGTGAGTTTTAGCAGATACCTGTGAAACCACCACCACAGTCAAGATTGTGAACATACTCATCACCACCCAGAGTTTTCTCATAACCCTTTCCACTGCCATCCCCTTTCGTCCAAACCACCATTCTCAAGCAACCACTGATCTGCTAATGTTATGCTAAAGTTGCATTTTCTAAGGTCTTATATAAAGAAAACCAAGCTGTGTTCTCGTCATCTGCACTCTTCCACTCAGCTAAATTATTTAGCAATTCATCCATGTTTTTGCATATATCCGTATTTTATTTCTGTTCAGGCTGAAGTGTGCCCCCCACCTCAATGTAATGGTATCAAGAGACGCAGTTGGGAGAGGTAATTAGATAGATGAGGTCATCAGCTAGGACCCTCGTGATAAGTAGTTGCAGGGGTGTCCAACCTGAGGCTATGAATGTTACCCAACACAAAATCATAAATTTACCGAAAACATTATGAGATTTTTTGTTTTTGTTAGTGTGTTTAATGTGTGGTCCAAGACAACTCTTCTTCCAGTGTGGCCCAGAGGCATCAAAAGGCTGGACATCCTGGGCAGTGCCTTTAAAAGATACAACAGAGAGCCCTGGCCATTGTGGCTCAATGGATTGAGTGCTGGCCTGTGGACCAAAGCGTTGCTAGTTCAATCCCCAGTCAGGGCACATGCCTGGGTTGTGGGCCAGATCCCCAGTAGGGGGCAGGTGAGAGGCAACCACATGTCGATGTTTCTCTCCCTCTCTTTCTCCCTCCCTTTTCCTCTCTAAAATAAATAAATAAATAAATAAATAAAATCTTTTAAAAAAAGAAAAGAAGAAAGAAAGATACAGCAGAGAGCCCTGCCTGGTGTGGCTCAGTGGATTGAGCAGTGGCCTGAAACAGAAAGGTTGCTGGTTCAATTCCCAATCAGGGCATATGTCTGGGTTGCAGGCCAGGTCCCCTGTTGGGGGTGTGCAAGAGGCAACAGATTGATGTTTCTCTCTCTTTCTTTCTCTCCCTCCTCCCCTCGAAAAAGAAATAAAAATCTTTTTAAAAAATAAAAGATACAGCAGAGAACTTGCACTTCCTGTCTTTCCACCACATGGAGACACAAATAGACCATTTGCAAGACAGGAAAAGAGTCCTCATGAAAAGCCAAACCAGCTGGCACCTTGACCTTGGACTCCCTAGCTTCCAGAACTGTGAGATAAATTTCTGTTAATTTAGGCACCGGTTTATGGTATTTTATTATAGCAGACTAAGACAACTGCTCTTTATTCCTGAGTAATATTCTGTTAAATGGTTGTACTACAATTTATTTATTCACTTGAACACTGCACAGGTCTGTGTATAAACACAAACTCTTATTTCCTTTGTATAAATACCTAGAAATGGGATGGCTGGGTTGTATGACAGCTCTACGTTTAACTTCTAAAGTCTGCCGGACTGCTTTCCAAAATGGTTACACCTTTTCCGGTCCTACCATCAGAGGATGAGAGTTCCAGCTGCTTCCACATGCTTGGCAACACCTGATATGGCAAGTGCATAGCGGTAAGTCATTATGGATTTAATTTTGAATTTTGAGACGTAAATATTTATATATATTTGAGATAGTTGTTCTCTGTTGGATATATTTTGCAAGGATGTTCTTCTAGTCTCTCTTTCATTTTTATGTCATTTGAAAAACAAAGTACTTAATTTCTAAAGTCCCTCTTCTAGCCCCCAGAACTGTGAGAAATTCCTGTTGTTTATAAGTCACCTTCTTCACGGTATTTTGTTATATAGCAACACAGCGGACCAAGACACTTTCCTTCCACGTTTGGAAATCTAGTGGATCCTTAATAAAAACACATCCAGAACCCAGCCACTTTTCCTAAGCCACTACTTTGGTTCCAGGACGCCTCAACTGAATGTAGTCTCCACCCTGATTTTCCTTCTCTTTCCAGGCCCTCACAATATGTTCTTTACTGTGCAGCGATGGAGCCTAAGACCTGAGTACGGTCATCCGGCTCCTCGGATCCAAAAGCCCCATCCCGTCCTCAGTCCTCTCCTCCTGCTCTTTGTTCCCGTCTGGAAGAACGGTTTCCTGCATGCTTCCAGCTCAGCTTTACCTCTGAGCAATTTCCTATCCTAGTACTAGACGAGAATAACCTTTCCACACCTCTTTACATTAGGTGCCATACAGGGAAACAAAACACGACCAAGTCCGGTTTCAGTGGGTTCGCGGCCGGCCTTCGAGCCGGGCAGACTAGGGCTGGACGTGTAACATCTGTGCCTCAAGGTCTTCATCACTCTCCCTCAGGCCGCTTCGCGTTCAAAGTCTTCGGGGAAACTTGTAACACCCTAATGTAGTTCCTGCCCCTCCTTTGTTTAGAATCCTCCACGGCATCTACAGTCCGCAGAACACACAGCAGATGTGACTCCGCCTCAAACACTGTTCCCTGCAGGCGAAGGGGACCCCAGTTTTCCCGGACCGTCCCGGCTCAGTCGCACCTCTGAGGCTCTGCCCGTAACCCTCTCCCAAAGGCGCAGGTAAACATTCACAGCCATGATCAGAAACAGGACCCCGTGGACCAGCGCCTCACGGTGCCGGACACCGGGGTCCGGGATGGAAGGCTCTGTGCGGTGAGGCGGTGACGGCCCGGGGGACCCGCACTCACCTCAGCCGGGAGCCTCAGCGCGGCCGCCGCCATCCGGGCCTCGGGCGGAACGGGACGGCGGTTTTTATCCCGGCCCCGGTGCAGACCATCTCGGGCGGCGCCGCGGACGAGCCTCAGGCGCTCTTTTGTGGAGTGTGGACCACCCCCTCCGACTTCTTCTGGATCCCGCTCAGGGACTCAACCCCTCGCTCTGGAACCACTGCCGCGATGAACACACCCCAGCAGCCAAAATGACCGCCGGGAAGAGGACACCGGAAGTCACGCCCCAAACTCGGGGCCACACACGGAAACGCCTCTGTCCTGAGCCCTCATTGGCCAATTGCGGCTGCCCCTCAACACAGAGCTTACAGGGTAATGTAGTTCGAACAAACTGACGTTGGCTCTCCCGCTCTGACCTCCGTCTGAAAACTTCAGACCCCAGGGGCGCGGGGAAATGGCGTCTAGGCCCGAGGGTTTAGAAAGGTGCGGTTCCCTTCGTGAAGTAACAGAACTCAGGTTTCTGGGGAAAGTGGCGCGTTGCCGGACCCTGTTTACCCAAGTGTTTGGAGACATTAGCTCAAACTCCGTGAAGTTCAGCTAGTTTCCAGAGGCTCAACATGGAATTTCAGATGCCTCCCCAGCAAAGGCTACAGACCCATATGCATCTATCATTGTGTACTTTTCACCATACACTTATTTTTCACCAGAACTATTTCCTCTGCCACCTTTAAGCACTACATAGCACTACATAGCAATTGTTAAGAGCTCTCTGTAAGTTGCATTTTACATGCTGGGGGTACATTAAATTGGCGATTTCAACTCCTGCCTGGGAAGTAATCATCACTTTTCTTGTCATCGCAGGGACTCACCTCCATGGGAATCAAACTTATCTCAGAAAAAAAAAAGGTTTAAAATGCAAAATTACATAAAGCAATTAACAATGACTATGTAGCGATTGAGAACATCTTCTGGTGAAACATCAGTGGATGGTGAAAATAGTTAAAACCTCAAAGAAGTCTTTGCAGTGATGTCTGAAAAAAAAAGAGTTAAGGTGAGCAAGTGACTAGAATCGTCCTCAAGATCAAGTATCCAAAATGTGATTCTTCTCCATTCTTGAAAATGAAACATACTAGGATTACAAAAATGAGTAAAAAGCTAACATTACAACATTACCCTTTCAGATTTGCCTGTAAAGTGTTCTGTGTGCTGTGAATGTGGAAAATACTTACCAGCAACTATGGCCTTAGTTGTCATGAGAGACTTCACAACAGTAAAACAGCTTGTAAATGAAGTGAATGCCACAAGCTGTGGCCTCAGAAAAACATTGGAGACTTTATCCTAAGGTTTTATGCATGCAGTGAATGTGGCAAGCCATCCTGGCCTCTATTGTCACCAGAGTTCACACAAAAGAAAGGCACTATGAATGTAATGAATGTGGGAAATCTTTTACCAGCAGCAGTAAGCTGTTATCATAAGAGAGGTCACACTGAAGAAAGCCCTTACATGTGCTGTGAATGTCGGATGTCCTTCTTTATATTTTGCCTCTGTTGTCATAAGGAAGTTCATGGTAGAGAAAGGCCTTATGAGTGCAATGAGTGCTACAAATCTTTTATCAGTAGCAGTGTCTTCCATTATCATCAGAGTTCGCACAAGATGAAGGCCTATGCCTGTACTAATTGTAGGAAATCTTTTGTCCATCTCAGTAACCTTTATTATCATAAAAAATTTCACACCATAGAAATGTTCCAGGGCTCACCAAAACTAAGCGAGCACACTGGGGCCCGTCCACTTAGCGCCTTAGTGAAAAACCCAACAATTAATGCTGGAAGGAGCAGATTTTCATTTACAACATCCCTACCTTAGGGGAGCTCAGAGCACCTCAGCTCGAAGCCCTCCTTTCCCATGAGACCCAGCACTTCCCATGCTCTCTATCAGGCTACCAGCCAAATGCCCCAAAAGTTTCCCATGTCCTTATCTTAAGCCAGTTGTCCGAACAGTCCTCCAGGCTCTCTGGAACACAGTTGCCATCCTCATGCAGCAGCTCTCTTCTTCAGGATCTGGGATACATGTTCATCAGCCTCCATTTTAATGGTCCAGGACAGCAAGTGCCATGTTTCTCTGGATCATGATGAAACTCAGGAGACACAAGTCTTAGTAGTCCAGGTATCCAGGTGTAGCAGTACAGGATCTTGCAACGAAATCCTCTGCAGCTCCCGAGGCCACATGGCCTCCTTCCTCACTATGAACTACATCCTACATGGCAGAAACCCTTCTCCTTTCTAAATCATTTGGCCAAGACCACTGCCAAGCCGCACAGACAAGAGGCTTCTCTTTCCCACGCAGACTGGTCGAGAGACCCCCCGGGGCTGCTGCACTTGAGTTTAAATCCTCACCTGGCTCCTCCTCTATAACCCCATTTCCGACTTTTCCCACAATCGGCTACACCTACCAGTACTCTGGTGTCTTCTGCCTTTCTCTGCTACCATTGTTAGTCCGGGCAGGCTTGGCCCCATGATGCTGGGGAACCTCCTTCCTGCCCTTGTGCAGGCTCAGCAAGCCCCTTCACTTCACAATCCAGAGTCACACCCACCCTCCTGGCTCCCAGTGACTGCCACAGCTACTTAACATATTTATAATATTAGCCATCTGTTATATATATGCAAAGCAACTTTTTTTTAAAAAGTATATTTTATTAATTATGTTATTACAGTTGTCCCATTCTTTTTTCTCCCCTTTATCCCCCTCCATCCTGCACCCTCCTTCCCTCCAGCATTCCCCCCACCCTTAGTTCATGTCCATGAGTCAAACATATAAGTTCTTTGGCTTCTTCATTTCCTATACTATTCTTAACCTCTCCCTGTCTATTTTGTACCTACCAATTATGTTTCTTATTTCCTATACCTTTTCCCCCCATTCTCCCCCTTCCCCCTCTCTGCTGATGTTCCTCCATATGATCTACTTCTCTGTGATTCTGTTCCTTTTCTGCTTGTTTGCTTTGTTTGTTTTTGTTTTTGTTTTTTAGGTTTAGCTGCTGATAGTTGTGAGTTTGTTGTCATTTTACTGTTCATCATTTTCATCTTCTTTTTCTTAGGTAAGTCCCTTTAACATTTCATATTATAAGGGCTTGATGATGATGAACTCCTTTAACTTTACCTTATTTGGGAAGCACTTTATCTGCCTTATCATTCTAAATGATAGCTTTGCTGGATATACTAATCTTGGATGTAGAGCCTTGCTTTTCATCACTTTGAATACATCTTTCCAGCCCCTTTTTGTCTACAAGGTTTCTTTTGAGAAATCAGCTGATAGTCTTATGGGAACTCCTATGTAACTACCTCCTCTTCTCTTGATGCTTTTAAGATTCTCTCCTTATCTTTAATTTTGGGTAATTTGATTATGATGTGTCTTGGTGTGTTCCTCTCCGGGTCCAACCTCTTTGGGACTCTCTGAGCTTCCTGGACTTGTATGTCTATTTCCTTTGTCAGATTGAGGAAGTTCTCCATTATTTTTTCAAATAAGTTTTCAATTTCTTTCTCTTCCTCTTCTCCTCTGGCACCCCTATGATTCAGATGTTGGAACATTTAAAGTTGTCCCAGAGGTTCCTAAGCCTCTTCTAATTTTTTTTGAATTCTTGTTTCTTAATTCTGTTCCAGCTGAATGTTTATTTTTTCCTTCTGTTTCAAACTGTCAATTTGAGTCCCCATTTAACTTCCCTTCACTGTTGGTTCCCTGTTATTTTCCTTTATATAACTTCACATAAACTTCACTTTTTCCTCTATTTTGTGGCTGTACTCAGTCATTTCTGTGAGCATCCTGACTCCAGTGTTTTGAACTCTGCATCTGATAGATTGGCTATCTCCTCACCACTTAGCACTTTTTCTGGAGTTTTGATCTGCTCTTTCATTTGGGCCATGTTTCTTTGTCTCGGCACACCTGTTACATTGTAAAGGGCAGAGCCTTAGGTATTCACCACAGTGGGGCAACACACTTCACTGCATTGTAGTGCTGTATGTAGGGGAGGGGTCCAAAAGGGAATAATGCCACTTGCTTTGCTCTCACCCGACTTTCAGTCACTTCCCCTGCTACTCAGAAGTAAATTGGACCCTTCTGGTGCTGATTCCTAGGTGGGTGGGTTTGTGTATGTTCTAGGACCTTGTGAGTCTCTCCAACAAACCCTCCTGTGAGGCTGGGAATTTCTCTTGCTGCTGCAACCCCCAAAGGTTTGTACAGCCAGAGGTTTTGAGGCTTTAGTTTCCCGCACTGGAACCCTGGGTTGCAAGGTCTGTCTTGCTCCCCAATTGTTCTTCCCCGCTTATCCGCCACAATGTGGAACTGCCTGATCCACCAGCCACCACCTCGCCTGCCAGGTCCATTGCCTCGCCGCACATCCTCTCTGTCCCATTTGGCTGTCTCTGCCCCTCCTACCAGTCTGGATGAATGTTACCTCTTTAAATCTTTGGTTGTTGGACTTCCATACAGTTCGATTTTCTGACAGTTATGGTTGTTTTTTGTTTTTAAATTTGTTCTTGTCCTTCTTTTGGTTGTGCAAGAAAGCAAAGTGTATTTACCTATGCCTCCATCTTGGCCAGAAGTCCAAAACATAGTACTGCTAAACACAATTCTTATTCCAGTGCTCAGCACACTATGACCATATTTCCTGAGACTGGAGCCAACTGGGCAAGACAATGTCCCTACCACTCATTAGCAGATCCATGGGTGATGGGCTTTTCTCAGAGAAGAGGTTAAGTCTGGAGCATCCCCAAGTGACATTTGTCATAAGTGCCTTCCAGGTATCTTCCTAAACAACACAATCCATTTAAAGGCACCAGGCAACATTCATGAACATGTCTCAAAACTGACCCTTTTACCTTTGTTGTCCTGCTTCACTACTGTCAGTAGAATGTCTTGGATTAGTGCTAAGACTCTAAAGCCCTTCTAAAGCCCTAAGTGTTACTGATTTTCCATTTTAACAGAGGGAGCAGCCCTGGATAGTCCCTGTGAGTTCTCTGTGACTTTAGAGCATTATTTTGAGGTCATTGTATTTCCAAGGTAACCTATCATTTGTGGCATGTCAAACTGGTATTCCCAGCTAAAGCAGTGATAGAAATACATTTTTAGGACTCAATTGCTATAAGAAATACTAAATGTAGGTCATTTTAAAGAGAACAATAAACATGGTCCCAGCTAAAGTCTCCTAAAGACAGATCAGGTATCAGGTCAGTTGTAGGCACAGTTCAAATTCCACTCATTGAGGG